GACACCATGCTCTTCTTTCAGGAAACACACATGGGGGAGAAGGAGACAAGCCAGGCGGTCCAGTACTACTCCACCAGAGGCTGGAAAGCCTATGGCATCCCGGCTCACCCCACAGGACAAGGGGGAACAACTGGGGGCTTCCTTACTTTGCACTCCACGAGGCATCTCACTCATCAGGCCCAGTACTTCACTGATGCGGGCAATGGCTGGACCTCCATAGGATTGCAGCGGGACAACTTTCAGGTCTTCATCATCCAGATCTACCTCCGCACTGGAGAGACTCTGCAATCCACTGGCAACTCGCTCATTTTGAGTCATTTGTTGGCCTACCTGCATCACTTGAAGGCTCCTTTCATCATTGGAGGGGACTGGCAAAATGACCCTGAAGCTTTAGCCGCAACCGTCATCCAAAGCAAATTCAAGGCTGCCATTCTAGACACCGGAGGTAGCGCCACACTTCAGGGCAGTCAATTGGACTTTCTCCTGGTCTCCAACTCACTGGTGGGCTCTCTGCAGGTCAAAGCCTCATGGGAAGTGCCTTGGAAGCCGCATTGTGCAATCGAGGTCTCCTTTGACTGCACCCAACCAGCCCTGGCGGTGCAACAATTGCAGAGGTTTCCACCTATTGGCAGAACCTTTCAACTTCCTCATCCTTGGACCAGCTTCCCTGAAACGGACGGGCCCTTCTGGATCCTGAATGAACGCATTGACGGTCTCGGGTCGGACTTGGCCCGCTGGGCCACACAAACGGAGCAGTACATCACACAACTGCTTCACAAGCCGGTCACTGGAAGAGGCTCCAACATCTCTCTTCTGCAAGCTCCCTTAGTTGATTCCACCACTTCACGGACGTGGATGAGGGGTGCGGTGGCCTTTTGGGAGAAGCTCAATGTACGCATCAACGTGGTTCACCACACTGGACACAAGCGGGTTCTCAGGGACCTCTCTCAAATGATGGTGGATGTGCACCGTTATGGCTCTGATGATTTCCAGGCGGACCTCTTCCTGGCTATTCTCCAGCAGTGGCTTCAGAGCCCGGCCAAGGACCCAGCAGAGCTCAAAGCCATTGTTCTGGAACAGGAGCAAAAAGCCCAGAAGCAAGCGTTGTATTCCACCAGCTTGGAGTATCAAGAATGGCTTAGCAAAGCGCGCAAGAAGGGTCTTGGAATTCTTTTTCGGAGCCTTCGTCTACGTGATCAAGCTTGGCAACGGCCTTTCCAGAGCTTGCCTGCCCCGGAGAGGATCAGGGCTCGAGAGCACCAGTGGGGAGAGATCTGGGTTCCCCTTCAAGCGCCGGTTCAGATCCGGGGCCTAGAGCACCTTCGAGTCCTGGCGCCTCGCTGCTCCAAAAACTGCTGCGCCGCCTTCCAAACAAAGCGGCTGGACCGGACGGCGTCTCCTACGACATGTTGAGGCATTTACCCTATCAGGCGGTCTCCCGTCTGGCGGCTCTTCTCACTGAGATGGAAAGGAGTGGGCAATTGCCTACGCAATTGCGCTACACCAACGTGGTGCTCATCCCGAAAAACAGCAATGTTGAGAGGCCCATTGCACTCACCTCTTGCCTGTACCGGGTTTGGAATTCCTACCGCAAGGCCGACATCCAGAAGTGGCAGATCTCCTTGGATCATGCTTTGCCTTGGGATCAAGCAAGGCCCAAACGAGATTGCTTGTCCATTGCAGTTGGGAGGATGCTCAAGGCAGAAGTCCACAAACACCAGGGCATCCACACAGTGACTTGCTTGGCGGATTTGTCGTGCTTTTACGACACGGTCAATCTTGATCACATCATTGAGCCGGCTGCCGAGCTCCAATGCCCTCCAGTACATCTCAAGCTGGCTTTGGATCTCTATGGGGGGCCACGTTTGCTGCAAGCGGAAGGCATAGCGGGCAACCCCACCCACTATGCAAAAGGTATCCTTCAAGGATGCCCTCAGGCACCAGCCATCTCCAAGCTAGTGCTCTACAAGCCGCTTCAGGAACTCAGCCGGCTGCATCCGGCGGTGGCACTCCAAACATGGGTGGATGACGTCTCCTATGACGTGGTTGGCAGTGATCCGGACTATGTGGCCAGGGAGGCCATTTTGGCCTACAGGACCCTCAACAGACTTCTCATGGAAGCGGGTCTCAAAGTCAACAAAGACAAAACGGAGTTCCTGTCTAGCAGCAAGGAAACAGCCAAAGCTCTGCAGATCAATCTCACTGAGGAGGACCCGCGCCATCACAATGTCCTTCGGGACTTAGGAGTCGATGCAACTGCTGCTCGTCACCGCAGGGTGGCACAGACGAAGAAAAGGTTCCTCAAGGGCCAAGCTCGAACTGGGATCCTTCACCGGCTCAAGCTCCAGCGCAACATCCGATACCGACTTCGTCGGAGTGCAATCCATCCTGTGATGTCTTGGGGGGCGCAAGCCACAGGTCTGGCTCCGCAGAGGCGGCAGCAGCTTCGAGTTCTGGCGGCTGGAGGCCTTCAGCTGCAGAAGTCAGGCTCGGTGGACGTGGTGTATGACATGAATCCCAAATTTCCTGACCCGGGGGACTCGATCATTCAACAGCACCTCTTCTCGGTCTGGAAGATCTATCACTCCTTTGATGAGAGCACGCAGCATTTGTTCTGGACCAGCTGGAACGTAGCTTTGGGAGCTTTGCAGAAAGCCAACTACAGATGGCAAGTGGTTCATGGGCCCTTGCAGGCCTTGCAGGCCTATCTGCTGGACTATGACTTCGACCTGTCCAATGCCAAAGCTTGGAAACGCACGGGCTACGGGGGCATACCGGACTGCCTGCTGTCCCTGGAGGAAAGCTGGCCGCTGCTCAACCACAAGTTGCAGGACGAATTTCGGTGGCAGCGCTTGTTGCGCCTAACCCGCTATGAGGGGTGCCACGACTTGGAGAGGCAGCTCGATTGGCAGATCTCCCGGGTCATCCAGAAGTACACGGATGACAAGCTCGGCCCAGCTCTTCGTGCTTTCCATCAAGGCACATACCATGGAGTTTCCGGCCTCTGTCCGCTATGTGGAGTTGATCTCACCTTCAAGCATTTGCTTTGGGAGTGCTCCTTCTGGAAAGGAAAAGTTCGTGACCTGCCAGATCAATGGAAGCAGCGCTTACAAGCAGGCACTGAGCCGGAATTGTGGCAGAGAGGAATGGTCCAATCCATCTTCTACATCCAAGAGGGCGGCATGGGAACCTTTGTCACGGAGGGCTGCTGGACTCCTCAAGACACCTTTGCTGTTCTCATGCTCTCACCCTCGGAGTAGCTCAGACATGCAAAGATGTCCGGCGCAAGCGATATGTCTTTGCGATTGCCATGTACCATGTCCAGTCCAGGCAGCGAAAAGCTGCTCTCAAAGGCATAGTTCCGGGCAAGGCCACTCAGGCAAGGGCAGTCTTCTATGGCCTCAAGCACTTGGCGCTCCATGTGAAAGAGAAGGTCACCATTGGCATTCATGTACATGCCGTGTGGAAGACGTGGAGCCCAACCAAAGCTTACGAGACCTTTCCGGATCTCTACCAGGGCCTGGGACTTTGAGGACTTTGAACAAGTCCGGCCGCTTTTGTTTGGCAAGCCAAGGTTGACTCCAATGAGACTATAGGCAGGCTTTCCAGGCGGATGTTGACCGGTTGGCCCGCAGCTTTTGCTCAAGCATCCAGGAAAGAGGAGATTCTGGATTTGCAACGACACATCGAGGAAGACACCAGGGACATCCTGCATGTCGCAGGGGCCAGAATGGACGTCTTGATGAAGGACCGCTCCCACTTCTTGCACCAGGGCCAGAAGATCCAGCAGGACTCCAAGGTCCCCCTCATCCAGCAGAAGAAGGTCATTTTAGACCAACTCTGCCGGACCAAGGGGGGCACCAATGGCAACCCTACAGAACCGGGGTGCGTTGTCAGCAATGCAAACAACGGCTCCATGCCAAGAGCCTCATGACTGAGCTTAGGCCAGCTTTGACATCCTCGTGTGAGCAGGCGGTGCCCTCTTCTGCGCCCAAGAAGACCCGCTTTGAGGTCATCAACGATCTCATCAGCGCTCAGTCTGAGGTCCAGCAAGGCGTCCACCACCTCCGGTTGGACAAAGCTTACCTACGGTGTTCCGAGTGTCACCTCTACATCCTTGCCAGGTGCCGAGAGGACGCTTTTGCTTCCTTTGTTGGAAGCAAATGCCACGTGGGGCTGGTCGAGAGCAGCGCTTGGACCGGGCATCCGTCTCACGTGGTGATGCGCCGAGGCATGCAGCTCTCCTGCTCCAGGTGTGGCGGCAGAGGCAAGATCGTTGAGGGCACCATCCAGCTGACGGACAAGATGACGCGTAGATGTGTGATGGCTGGAGCCACTGATCTCCGCCAATGGTTCACGTGAGCTCGCACGCAATGGCACAGAAAAGTCGCGCAAAAAAAATATATTGTATATAGTGTGTATATGATTTATATAGGGTGTGTCCCAGTCAATCTGCAACAGGAAGGATAGAAGATGAGCACTAATTGGGGGGGTAGGCCTACCTAAGCATCATCATCCACTAGGGCCCTGGTACTGGGACATGCTCTGGTCGGAGGCATGGAATCGCTTGCCGTGCGACTTGCCGTGCCCTCGCAGTGATTAGAGAGGTGTGCAAGGCATAATGAAGAATACCCTTTGCTCACCAGTCCCAACGACGAGGTCGTAGCTCGGTGAAACTGGCCGTCGCTCGCTGTTGGGGCCCAATTTGCCCTCACTCACTTCCCGAGGTCCAAACGAACCTTCCACCAGGAGTCACATGTCGGAGTGGTTTTTAGTCCCCAAGTGAGTGGATAGTGGGCACCCCTAACCTCCATTAAGCACCCCTTTGTGACTGCAGGCAGAGGTCCAAGGTCCGGAGTCTTGCCTGCCACGCAAAAAGCAACCTGAAAGACCTGCTGCCTGTCAATCGCTGCACTCCCGCTTTTTGGGCCAACAAATCGAGGCTAAAACCTCCTTAAAACGCCCCCCCCCCACCACACGCTTCCGGGTGCACCGCCCAGGTTCGAGGCCAAGGACCTCTTTGGGCTCCTGGACGCGGATGGCGACGGGGTCTTGGACCGCTGGGGAGCTCAGCAGTGAAAGCGCCGTGAGCAGAGGAGGAGAGCGGAGGAGGTCAGTGTTCGGGCTTTCGTCGGCTCGTGAGGCTGAATTTGGGTGTTCGGTTTTTTTGGTTCGGTTTGGTCATGTTGGAGTCTATGAACACATGCACGCACAAGGCAAAGCTTGCCGCCTCTCTCCCGGGCAGAGCATTGGACCGGGCCGCCGGTCGGCTTGGCCGACCGGCCCCTCGGTTTTGGCCACTGACCGGCCAGTCGGCGCCTCCCGAACTAAGAGAACTTCCCGAAGAGTGATGGATCCTGGAAATCGGACTGGACACCCGGACCAGGGGGTGTCGAACTTGATAGCCCCGAAAGGAGGTGATTCGGGGTGTCCATGAAAAGCACCCCTTGTCGTGGGTCCTGAAGGGCGACCGACTCGGCTGGGAAGTCGGTGGCCGCCACCGGTCGCTAGCGAAGCGCCGCGCGAACGCATGGCATCGTTCTCTGCGCCTTCGGCGACCGCGGTTTTTCAGCGAAGCAGGGGGACAGGAAGTGGTCGGTGGTCGGCAGAGGGCATGAGTCGGTGAGTCGGAGAGTGGATCCGCATCGTTCAGTGACGAGAAAAACATCGTTCCAGGAGTGACAAGTACGGGGTGGTGTTTAGTCCCCAAGTGAGTGGATAGTGGGCACCCCTAACCTCCATTAAGCACCCTTTTGTGACTGTTCATGAATTTAGTCATTTGGATATCCTTCTTCTAAGAAAGGACGCTACGAACGGAGCATTTCGGGCATCGCTACGAACGGAGCGTTCGGACGCTACGATCGGGGCTCCTGGCCTTACTAGGAACAAGAAGGCTGACGAACGGAGTTTTTTCTTGACTAAATTCGTCTAAGAAAGGAACCACTCCCTTCTTCCCCGGCCAAGACGGGGCTTCTCTGCTTCGCTTCGATGCACGAGCCGCGCGGTTCGCGGGGGACCGCGGCCTCAGGTTACGAGTTCTTGCTCGGGCCGCTTGGGCTCCGCGAAGCGCCGTCCGTTCAAAAGCCCGGGGGGGTGAAGGGACCAGGGAGGTGGAACTGAGCAAAGGGAGGTTGTTACCAGAACCCCCCATGAGCTGGGGTTGTTCAGACGCTGTGAAGAGACACCCCAAGCTGGAGGCTCCAATGGAGACCGCGGTTTTCATCAGGGAGCCGCCTTTCACATTGGGCCAATGGGTTTTCAATGACTCGATCGTTCGTGCTTGTTCTTTTCATGAGGAACCTCCCCTTTCAGTGGAGTGCAACCTGCGCCCTCGGGCGCAAGTATCAGGGGGCGTACTGGCTTTCAAGGAAACAACCGCGTCTTCGATGAGAACTCTGAGTCTGACTATATGCAACCTTTTCGCCCCAAAAGCAGAGGGGAGAGGGGTTTGCTCCGCCGACTACTTGTAGGACTGAGACTTCCCAGACACCTGCCGCTGCCCAAAGAGACAACATACAAGAAGCGAAAGGTTGACTTCACTGGATGTCTGGTTGCGGTTCGTTTTGCGGTCGGTGGTTTCATTTGGTTGATGTGTTTGGGTTGGTTGGTTGTTTTTGCATACTCCAAGTTGAAGAGGAAAGCTCCAGCTTGCCGGGTTTGATGACTGGGGAAAGCTTCACCGACCACCCAACCTCACCGTCGCCCGAAAGCTTCACCGAAGAGTCCTTTTTGGGAACGAGCGACGAAACACGAGGTAGTCGTTGGTGGTCGTGCGATGCCGTTGGATGCCGTTGGATGTGGGATGGGGTGGGTCAAAACCCTTAGCGAAGGGTCTGGTCACCGGTCCGGACCCGCCAGCTCCGAGCGAGCGCCGCGGAGCGCCGCGGGAGCGCGCGACAGCCCCGCAATCGGCTCCGCTGGGCTGGCGAATCGAGCCGAGGATTTGTCGCTTGATTTGGTGCGACGACTTTCAGAGCAAATGTGCTGGCCTTGGCGTGCTCGAGCCGATCCCGATGGCAAAGCCATAGACAGTCGAAGCAATGAATCAAGCATTGTTTACAAGCAACATCAACATCAACATCATCATCATCATCATCATCATCATCATCATCACCAATAGAAACTGTGGTTGCTAAATGTGTGAGCTGGATCTACTTGCTCTCCGAACTTTTTTGCGAAAAGTCGAACAGTCGCGAAAAGTCGAAACATCGCGAAAACGTGATAAAAGTCGAAAAGTCGAAAAGTCGCGAAAAGTCGAAAAGTCTCGCTGCGTGCTTTCGTTTCCTTTACCTTTTTGACTTTTTGACTTTTCTCACTTTTTGACTTTTTGCATCTTGCTTGGTGTCTTGCAAATAGATCGTCGCTAAAGGATTTCGCGAGCTTCGAATAGATTTCGCTCCCTTTCATTCATGCTCCCTCCCTCTTCGTGCTGGTCTGGTCATCCCGACACCTCCGCACCTCTCGTCGGTCCTCGGCGCGTGGACGCGGCGGGACGTGGCGGGACCGAGGCCTGATGAGCTACCAGATCTCGCAGGTCCGTGAGGAGGGGCGACGGCGACGGCAGGCCTCCAGGTGTTTCTTTTAAGCCAGCTAGAGAAGGACTTTGGCAGGCTGTACCTCTCCATGTTCTTGACATTCGGTCGGATGGTTCTGCGAGGGCACGATCGACATGAGATATCATGAGATGGCCTCCCTGTGACGAAGCAGCTTCGATGATCTATGTTGCTGGTTTCAGAGTAGATGGCACAACCCCCAAGAAGGTGCTTTTTGTGGACCGCTCTGAAACACACGTAAAAGATAAGCGTCAGAGTGGCACGAGACTGGATGGCTCAGGGGGAGTCGGGTGCTGGTATATATATATATATATTATATAAATATCCACAATCCCACGGGTCCTCTCAGTCAGTCTAGAAGATGTTCGGTTCAATTCTCCCTGTGTTTAAGGTACGATCAACAAGCGGAGGATCTCTTCTTATCCGCGGATTGATAGGCAGAATGGAGGATGTGCTCAATGCCCAACCACTTGGCAAATTCGTCGAATGGTGTGGTTCCTACGCGCAGGACCTTCACGTCAGGGAGCTTGAGGTGATCCCCCAGCGATAAGATCCCACCCAAGCTGTGTAGGTGATTCAATTCGCCGGTTTTGGTTTTGGCTCCAGACGGCACGTCTGGCAGCTCTCACAGGCTAGTAACTAGAAGCTACGCACGGTGGAGGCCATCGCTATGAGGTTGGAGGCCATCGCTACTAGGAACAAGAAACCACTAGTAGCAAAGACAAGATTCTTCCATGAATTTAACAGTAATTACTGAGTAGTTGGTTTCCTCATGGCAACATTCAGGTGGTTGGGGAGTAAACTGCCGAATATTCGATGTGCTTCTTTTCGTGACCCGTTGCAGGGGTGTCTTTTTGCGAGACGCGTCTTCCGTGGCATGCGTCGCCTGGATGGCCCAGAGCCAACTTGCTCAATCCGTGTCAAGGCGTTCCATGATCTCGGCGACATGAAAGATCTCGTCAGCTGTGGACAGCTGTGGTCACCGCTTGACCTTTGCAGATTGTGAGCTCAGAAGTCGCAAAATCTACAGAGTTCAAAATGGTGACGTAGGATTGACAGAGTGACAGAAGATTTGCCACAGAGATTTAACAAAGGATGCCAACTATAGACCAGCCCACAGAGTGCATACCCCAGCGCATGGCACATAGCGGACTGCCAAACCCATAAAAAGCGTCTCAGCTGCAGATGTGTACGGTGTGCTGGGCGAAAAGAGGAGGGTGCCAACGAAAAGACTTGTTGGAATAGGAACATAGAGTTGTCTTCCGCAGGGGATGTGCACCAAGCATTTTGGGAGGTCGTTCTCAATAAGGAGAGGGTTTAAGGAGAGGGTTGAGGCAATCTAGGAGTCAGGGCATCATCATGCCGTGAAAGAAGAACATTTGACGGCTGACCTTCAAGAATGTCTTGGAGTGAGACCATATTATATATATTTTCTTTTTGTGAGACGCACTCTTTGGTCCCCTTCGTGCCCTCGAAGTAGAATCAAGAAAGAACAACACAAAATAAGAATTAGAGAAGTCTTGAAGAATCAATCATCCCCTGCCCGACTTCCACCATTCCCCCCCGCCGAAGACAGAATCTACCAATGACCGTGCTAAACCGGCGAAACCGAGGAGTCTTTCTGGCAATTAGCCGATTTCAGTGATGGCAGCTCCCGGAGGCAGTAGTGGCGGGGGTAGGGGATTCCAGATGGTTTGAGGGTTGGACCGATTGGGTAGGACAGCAGCTTGGGATCACAGCTTCTTGTTCCTAGTAGTAAGGCCAGGAGCTACGTTTGTAGCGTCCTTGCTCCCTTCGCAGCGATGGTCTCTCCGTTAGTGTTTATCTTCTTCGGGAGCCAGCGGGGGGCCAATTTCTTTCGGAACCAAAGGACTTTCAAACTTCCAAGATAGCTTCCCCGAACTTCCAAGGACTCTCTGCACTTCACCTGGGAGTGAACATCCCCTACTGTAGCCGAAGTCTAGTTCGCCCTAATTTTTTGGGCACCGAAGTCAAGGAAGCTCGCTTTGGTCACCGCAAACTCTCTTTTGAATCGGTCTTGGACGGGATAGGGATAGGGGTTCCAACACATGGAGCTCCAAAGGGGGACTCGAGAGAAAGCCTGCTTGGCTCCCGACCGGCGCCGCACTTCAGCCGCACTTCGACCGAGTCCCAGGTGCCGTTCCGCAGTTCGCGTCGCTCTACGTGGGCGACCTGCAGCCCGACGTGACCGAGGCCGGAAGAGGAAGGGGGCGGGTGGCGGGTGGAGACCGGGCGCGCCCGGTGCCTTTTGGGGAAAAAAGAAGGAGGGAGACCGACGAAAGGGCGCGTTTCAAGCGGGGGGAACATGTGGAAAGGGAACGGTGTCGAAGCACTCCGTGGTAACGAACTCTATCTCGATCCGTTTGGTGCGGGGCTCGCTGGAATCCTCCATGTTTTTCGGGGCCTATTGACCTGGACACGTGGGCACCCGTGGTGCTGGTTCTTGTTCCTCTTTACTAACTAGCTAACTAGCCTTAGTACTCTGAACCCTCTGAGACCGACCAACTCCACCTCACCTATCGAGTCATCGGCCCCAAAAAGCTATCCTAGAAGCTGAATGACCTCTATGTTGGATCACCAACCACCCCAAATAAGGTCTCTTCCTATCAAACCAGAGGTCAAATGGGCTCTAGGTGGATAGAAAGCTGCCCCGTTTCCGCGCGACGAGACCTGGCGACGGGACGATCGGAGGCGATGTTGTACGAGATCTTCAACTCCGTGGGCCCCGTGGCCTCCATCCGCGTCTGCCGCGACAGCGTGTCGCGCAAGTCTCTGGGCTCCTTGGACCGCAGCACAGCGGCTCAGCGGAGGGGAGGGGAGGTGCGTGCTGGGGGTTTGGCGGGGTTTGGTGCGGACTGGGTTTGGTGGGGGAGTGGAGAATACACAGAATAAAGCATGGAAAGGACCTTGAAAGCGACAGGAGTCTTTTTTTCGGGGGTGAGGATGGTAAAGATGGGCTCGGAGGAATGTGAGATGTTTTACATAGATGTGGGAGATGTGTCTATCCAGCATTAGCTAGCTTTTGCTCTGTGACATGCCGCAGCAGAGGCCAACACAGCAGTTTTCCATAGTTTTCCCGTGTGCACCTGCCTGGTTGGACGAGTCTCTCAAGAGGAACACCCAAGCTTTGGATGGCAGGGTTTCTTTTTTAAATATGCACTACACATGAACGTGGGTATATCGTGTGTTTTCATGTCTGTTTTTTACACGGATCTTCTATTTCTACCTCTTTTGCCTTCGGCTCCGTGTTCGAACGAGCAACTGCTAAGCTGATGAACCGCCTCCCCTCGCACACCCGGTCGGCCGCCTTTCGTCCCCTCAACAATCGGTCGGTGCCGGTCGTTCTCCGGGACAGCTGCGTCTCGAGGCTATGGCTATGTTCCTCGGCGATGGCAGGGACTGGGTCGCCAGGAGGTCGAAGAGGTTTTGACCGTGCTGGCGAAGGATTCAACCGATGACCCTCTGCCGTGATGGCGGCAAAAAGTGTCATGTACTGGAGCAACAGAGATATAATGATTAAAAAAATCATTATATATATATTATATTCATAGTAGTCTTTTGACTTTGGAAAGCTCTTCAGGGCTGGTTTCATCTTCGTCCATTCTTGGCAGACATGCCAAGGGCCAAGGAATCCAACGGGAGGACGACGAGGTTTCTTCGTGTCCGCTGTGTCCCATCGCGGCCCATCCACGGACGGCCCCCGGTTTTGGGGCACCCTGCCCACAGGGCTTCAACACCATGCAGGAAGGTGTGTGGGTGTGATCTTTTGGGGGAGAACCCATCCAAATGGCTGGAGAATCATAAAGGGTCTCCATTTTTCAAGTGGTCCTCAAATAGATGACTGTGGCTCGGTTTTCCCATAGATTTTGAGTGGGGATCTACGACCTTCTATCCACCTAGAGCCCATTTGACCTCTGTTTTGATAGGAAAAGACCTTATTTTGGGTGGTTGATGATCCAACATAGAGGTCATTCAGGTTCTAGGCATTTTGAGGTCTCCATAGGTTCAATCCGAAGAGGATCCACCGGTTTCAGTCCCTGGTAAGTGCGAAGCCACTCAACCACCCCGACTCGACCTCAATCCGCACGTTGTACCAGCGGCGCCGGCGCCGCGCCGCCGCTATCGTCGGCGGTGAGGTGAATTTCCACAACGTGTTCGGGAGCCCGGGCGTCGGTCGTGCTGGGCGGGTCGGCAGAAGGGCCAAGACGAGAAGGGGTGTCGCCAATCGTCGCCAGTCGTGCCAGTCGTGAGAGATCCTTTCTTGTTGAGATCCGAGTGGAGTAGGTGTACCGAACCCACTCTTCAAAGTGGAAGGCCCAAAGCCCTCAAAAGATAGGCATACAACTAAAAGGGTGCGTCTTTGATGAATTTTGTCGTTTCCTTCTTGGTCTTATGTGTTTATCATTTTCTCAATGTTTTTCCTTTATTTATAGACACTACTTTCGACTTGTAGTCTTTTCTTTCCTAACATGTGAATGACCTCATTCTACTGGAGTTGCTCCTACAAAAACACCAGCTTTGACTGGGCTCAGACTGGACGTATATAGATTTCTTCGAAAAAGTGGTCTAGTTTTCCACTTCTTTGAACGGACACCTGTCCAAAAAACATATCCCTACACCTCCAACCATCTCCTCAGTGGTTAGACCCCCAAGACCACCCACCCCTGTCCCATCGAACCGAAACGGAGCTGGGCCAGGAGCCCATTCCGCGTCTCTCGTCCCGCTGCAAGCGACGCTCGTCCGTCCGGAAATACGGCCCCGTGACGTCCGGGCGCTCCGTCCAGGTCCGACGCTGAGCGAGCCCTCGACACCCTGAACTACTCCAGCATCAAGGGACGTTCGTGCCGTTCCTCGGCGAAAGCGAAGCCAACGGAGAGGAAGAAGACCAGCGAAGTCGGCGCGGTTCGGCGATGTGCTTCGCGGTTCGGCGGCCACGGTTTTTTGGGAGGAGACAAAAAAGACGTCGTCG